TGACATCTCGTAACTGACATTGGAAAAAAAGAATTGAATGAACAGATTCACCAAGCGGTGACTTGCTTAGTGAAAGTCGCAAATCTTCCAAGTCATGCTGTTTCAATTTGACCTCTTACTCAGCATCAGTTCCCAATTTATGGACTCGAAATTTGAAATCACTCTGCTTTTGTACTAGCTTCCTCTCCTGTGCTTCCATCTGAAGGCGAGGTAAAGGCCAAGGAGGCAACTGAGGTTCTGCAACCATTTGGGCAAAGCAAGACAACTTATTTATTCATCTCCTTTCAGCCAAAGACTATTCAAAGTGCTTGTACAAGAAAGTAAAACAACATTCAGCAAGAAGATAGTCACAAATAATAATAATAATAATAAATAATAATAATAATAATAATAATTTTAGTAAAAGATCAAGCAGAGTAAAAATAGAGAAGTAATTTTAAACATAGTAAACGAGTAGAAGTTAAAAATTAAGAAAAGGCTAATTCAAAGAAGGTTTCAAATAACTCAAGGTAGGCATAGTCTTACATTGTGATTAGTATTAGTGTAAGCATTAATTCTTTAAGATAACATACAAGTTATACTAATTAATTTCCCAGTGATTGTTGTTATTCTGTTTTAAAGATATCTTCCTCTCATTCCATCAATATGTTCACTATGTGATCAATTCAGTCTTTATGAGTTTCATCCTTAACTTAATAGTGATTGATGAAATTATATTTCATTTAAATTAGATTGATATTACTAAAACATTGCAGAATTTCTCTGAGATTGTGAGAACATTTTATTAGACTTCATCTACATCCTGTCCCATTATTCTGCAGATTAGAAAAATGTTCCAAACCTCTGAAAGAAAATCCAACAGTGACACCTAGTGGTTATAAAACGGATGACAGCAACCTATTCTTTCTTTCTTTCTTCCTTCCTTCTTTCTCTTTCTTTCTTTCTTTCTTTGTTTCGTTCTTTCTTTTTTTCTCTCATTGTTTGTGGTCAAAATCAGTGCATCTGTTTTCACCTCCGTATTTATTATTAAATCACACCAAATGCTGAATTATAATTGCGTCAATTAATTCATTATGTATAGCTGCAAGTTTAAACTAATGCAGGTTGGGAACCAAAAAAAAAGACTTAAGTTAAATGTTAGTATTGATGAAGCCATAAGCTTCATACAAAAAATACTCTAACAGATTTCACTTGAACATTTTTCATTCCCCAGTTTCTAAAGATTGAATTTGTCTGATTTTCTGCAGTTTATGTGCGGAAATCTTTGCGCAAACATGTGATAAGTAATACAGACACATCTTAGCAATATTAAAATGTCTCAATGTTTTTAAAACCTACCTGTCAATATCAGACATACACTTTTCCTGCTGTTGGATGGGAACCTTTTTAACTTTTTACAAGTTTTTAGTAAGAAAAAACAAAAGTGTAAATGTTCTGCAGATTGTTTTTCTGTAGATCATATATATGTCACCATTAAAATTCAACCGTTCAGCATGACCTCCAGTGAAATATGATAAACCTGAATGATAAACAACAGGTTTTATCCTCAGAGCTTCTTAGTTCATGACCTTGACCTGAAAACGTCTCTGCAGTCATAAACATTTACAGCCCACAGCAACATATTAAAGCACAACCTGCATAGCAGCTCAGGAAACTCATTAAAACCTTCATAGATGACATACTACATTTATATTTCATCAATTTTCTTTTTACATTGATCATTCTGATATTAATTTATTCTGAGGAATCTTTTTTTTTTAAAACATTGCTTTATATCTGGATTTGCATGAATATTTAAACCGAATCTAAAGACCAGTTTTATTCCAGAAACCATCAATGTGAGCTGTAGTTTATTATTTTATTCATTTCCTAACTTTTCCTCATTTTCTTTCATGGACCTAAACATAATAAGTATAAATATTTTCCATCCATGGAACCGCAGAATAACCCTGTTCATGTTAACATTTACTGAGATTCTCTGAAACTCAGGTATCAATAATCAGCTGCAGGTATTAATGAACAACCTGACTGCTCTGACAACCATTTGAACTCCAGAAAAAGAGTTCAAAGCCACACACAAACTCTCTCCAATACATACGCACACATACACACACACCTGCCTCCGCCCCCCACACACACACACATTAAAGAAACTGGATTGATGCACAAATTGAACTGCATTTGACCTGCACCTGCCTTCTTAATCTGCTGCCAACCCCTCACACCAAGCTCCTCAGCACAACAAAAAACACTGAGACATAATGAAAACAAATGAAGTATAGGAGAAGGGGCATAAATAGAAAATTAGGAACGCCCGAGGGTAATGACATGACCTGAAAACATCTCTGGAGTCATAAACATTACAGCCCACAGCAACAGATTAAAGCCAACCTGCATATGCAGTTCAGGAAACACTTGAAAATCTTCAAAAATGGCATAATACACATTTATATTTCATCCGTTTTCTTTTACATTGATCATTTTATTTCTGAATATTTAAACCGAATCTAAAGACCAGTTTTATGCCAGAACAAATCCATATGATCTGTAGTTTATTATTTTACTCATTTCCTGTGTTTTCTCGTTTTCTTTCATTGACCTAAATATAAAAAGTGCAAAGATTTTCCTTCCATGCGACCGTAGAATAACCCTGTTCGCGTTAACATTTCCTGAGATTCTTTGGAAACTCAGGTATCGATAATCAGCTGCAGGTATTAATGAACAACCTGACTACTCTGTCTCCAGAGTAACATGGCGAAGGTGCAGGCACTCAGTGTGTCGCACTCAAAATAAATTAAACAAATAAACATTTTCTTGTTCGAATTTAATAAAGCAATTTAAACTAAATTGTCTTGATATTTATGTTTCTTTGAACAATTAAATTCACTTTTTGTGTTTTTCCCTATGACACGAAGAACCTCCTGACCAACCAGTCCTGGTCACCAATCCTTCCTTTGATTCCTGATTGTTGGGGCAGGAAGTCTTCCTGGTGTCCTGCAACTTTTAGATACTTCAGCACACCTGGCTCCAATAGCAGCTCATCAACAGAGCTCTGCAGAGCCTCAATGCATGCCAGTGAGACAGTTAAAATAAAGTCTTTAGGTCAAGGACACATCTGAAACTTGCGGACTCGGTCCTGGAGGAATGCAGACTGAGGCCACTGCCTAGAGGAACCAAAGCTAACGTTCTGTTTTCTCAGAGCTCACAGGAAACACAGCACAGCTGAGACAATGTGGTCCCACAACATGCCTGATATAAGATGAGAGTTTTTATGGCAATATTAATTATTCTACATCAACAAACGGCTGCAGTCAATTGCAACAACTGAATCAATGTTGATGATTCAGTTACATCTCAGTTAAGATGTAACAAAGATGTTACATCTTAACATCTCTGTTACTTTTTGACATTAGATGTTAGTTGTAACAATATGTTAAATCTTAACATATTTGTTAAAATGTAACAGAGCTAAACATGTCAGGCTATCCTACAGAGATCTTTCAAGATCATTTACAGAATTAGATCTTTTGGTCTCGACACACAAGAGGCAACATCAACCTGTTCATTTATGCAAAGAGGAGAAAATTGCTTTTCCCTCTGCAGCCAAGTGAATGGAAAATTTGGACATGTGAATTTTCAGGCTTGTATTCATAAACTAGCATAGTGTGTGTGCTAGTGAGCACACACTAGGAATATGAAAACAGGGCATTTTTTTAACTTTGTCAAGAAAGTTGAAAAATAACATTTTGTTCCTGTTGTTACTTCCTGCTTTGTATGGATCTATTTGTAACTTGGGCTTGTTAGGAATAAAATCCTAATTTCGTCAGATTAATATGTATCCTGGGACTTTTCACTGAAACATCACAAAGGATTCAAAACATCCACAACTCAGAACACAAAAACGGAAATGAATTAACAAGGACAGGAAGTACAAGCTAAATCCTTTTTTCCAAAAAATTCATCAGTGAAAATAATCCCTGATGCTGAAGTCATAAAGTAAAAATCACATCTTTGCTTTTGATTTCACTGAAACATTATAGAGTCACTAGTGTATTATTGACAGGTCTGTCAGTGACTGTGTATAAGAGCAGCTGTTTCCAGGACCTCCAGACAGAAGAGCTGAGCTTGTCTGATGCTGAAGTGAAGGAAAAAAGGTAATTTTGATTCTGCTTTGGTAAAAGATTTGATCTAACTTCAACGACTTCTTTATTGAGTTGAGACTGTTTGTGTTTTTGAAGGTGATCTTCAATGACTCTGAATGTTCTGATGTTTCTTTGAGCTTGTTACACTGCATTATGTAATAATGTAATACAATTGGGTTTCATAATTATGTTATATATTGAATTATTATATTATTATAATGAACTATAGTTAAACAACACATTTTACTGTATATTCACAAAAACTAATCAAGAAGAGCCTTTGCATTCAGATCATCGACCATTTCAGATTTTATGTACTTTCTTAAAATCCCTCAAATATTAAGTCCTTTTTTAAGCCAGAAGGGCAAATTATTTCAACAAAGTTGATGGAAGAGCAGGAGAACATTTTTGGAAATTTCTACTAAAACTCTCAGAAAACAGTAAGTGGTTGCAAACATGATTGAAATAATTTTGCTACAGATGAATTTGAGGTGGCTCTCATCCATCAATTCAACCGCAAAATCCATGCAAGCCGCATCTCCAGTTATACTAATGTTACATTTTATTTTGCATTATTTGTGCAATTGAGACTCATTATCCAAAGTTCAGAAAGAAGTAAATGTAAAATGAAGAAACCAAGCTCATGTTTTTTCATCAGGTGATGTTTGATTTAGATTCCTGATCATCAAGGTGAGGTGACACATCAGCAGGTATAAATAACGGAGTCTGAACGTCGGAGACACAGAGGAGAAGGAGAAGTTTGGAATCAAGTTCATTCCAGCTGCAGGTGAGAGATGAACACATGAATTCATTTACAACTGAGTTTGTCCACTAAAGTTTCTCTATGTTTTACATTAACAGGGAATTTCATTGTGCTGCAAGTCAAACTCCAGATTTTCATCAAGTTTGATCAATTTATCCAGATCAACAGTAAAGATGAAGGTAAGCCTGTAACTTGCACTGTAAAAAAATAAAAAATAATTCATCTATCTTTATTTATTTTAACAAGGAAAGGTATTTTTAATGTTTAAAATCTTGTTAACAACAAATGACCAAAATAAAAATCAGCGCAGAGACATTGTACATAAAATGTACAAATTATGAAACATCATAATGATTAGAATATGAACACAAACAACAACAAGATATTTAACTATGTATCAAAAAATATAAAATTAAATAACTTCTAGTGAGTTTGTTAATTATTTAAAATGTTTGATATTTTGTTCAGTCACTGAAATGTTGAGTAAATTTAAGTGTTTAAATTTATCCAAACACTCAATGCATGTAAACACTGTACATAGTTTTGGCTCTGGAAATAACATTTGTTAACAGGACTGATGAAATGAGTTGTTAAAAAATGGAGGATCAAACCAACCAGAAACCTTTGTTAAGGCAGAATTCAGCATAATTCTGACTGAAAATCTGGCAGCACAGCTTACAGGCCATATGCAGGACAAGATCAGGGATCAGGTTTAATCTGACTAAATGAACATTAATCAGAGTTTCTCTGATGATGTTCAGAAGGTGTCATGTTCTGTCTTCCAGCTGTTATCACTTCTCTTCCTCCTGGCTCCACTGCTGATCAGCTGTGAAGCGGCTGAGGACCAACTGCCACGTGATTGCGATGACATCTACAATAAGGACAAGAAACTTCCAGTGGAGTTTACATCATCTATCCAAATGGACATTCATCTGCTGTTAAGGTGAACTTTATGTTTGGTTTGTTCATAAAAATGAAGATCCAGATTAAAGTTCTGTGCAGGCCCAAGACTGGAGGTTTATAAGTTAACAATGCTGAGGATGTTTTTACTTATCTTCATACACATTACATAAACTGACTGTTTGAAACTGAAATTTCTTGATGTTTAGTATCTTGTTTCAGTTCAAGCTCCAGTTTTTTCTTCCTACAACCAAATCAGTTATTCATGGATAAGAAATTTTATTTAATTATACGTTAACTTATTAGTGAGGCAATGATAGTATTTATTTTTCCACATAAAGTGTGACATTGCATTACATAATAAAAACTGTATCAAGTCATGAATGTGTTTGTGTGAAGGCTTACTGCGACATGGACTCAGAGGGAGGACGCTGGACGGTGAGTCCATATCTACATGAACTCTCTCTGTTTACACTTCAACTTGGTTTATCTCAGGATTCTTGGGGGTTTTCATCCAACAAACATCAAGTTCTGTTTAAAGAAGAGTCTTTATTGTCCTTCCATTTTCACCTGCCTGAGATAAGATTTGATCAGTTTTGTCATGTTAAATATTGATTATTGATACCAATTCAGAGTTGTACAACCCACTTCCTTTTCACCCTGAGTGTGTCAGTGAGAACGTTGTTCACTTCTTGATCAGATTCCTTGTTGTTCCAGGTTTTCCAGAGGAGGATGGATGGCTCTGTAAACTTCTACAGACCCTGGCGGAGTACAAGAGAGGCTTTGGAAACGCTGCTGGAGAGTACTGGCTGGGTGAGACACCGACCTAAACAGTTAGTCAATGTATGGTTGGTTTATTTACTTAAGATATTTATAACATAGTTATAGCCACATTTTTCAACACCTGTTTATTGTCTCGACTTTTATTTTACTATTGTGTTACTAAGTGATGGTGTGCAGGTGCAGGTCAAAAACTGTGAATATTATGGAAAAAGTTTATTTCAATCAGTAATTAATTCAAAAAGTAACATTTGTATGTCATATTAATTCATATCATACAGCTTGATATATTTAAAATGTTTACTTCCTTTAGTGTTGATGTTTGTTTCTGACAATTCATGAAAACTACAAATTCAGTATTTCAGAAAATTTGAATATTGTGAAAAAGTTCAATATTGCAGAGCTCTGGTGCTACACACTAATCAGTTTAAGTCAAAACACCTGCAAATGCTTCCAAATGGTCGCTGAGTCCAGGTCTGTAGGTTATTCAATCATGGGAATGACTGCTGACCTGACAGTTGTTCAAAAGATGACCTTTGACCCTTGCACAAGAGGGCAAGACAGAAACATCACAGCTAAAGAAGCTGGCTGTGCACAGAGCTGTTTTCACACACATTCATAGAGAAGTGAGGCGGAAGAAAAGATGTAGTGGAAAAGAATTGGACAAGCAATCAGGATAACTGCACCTGGAGGGGATTATGAAACAAAACCATTTAGAAATGTAGAGTCGGCTGCAGATGGAGTCAGTGCTTGAAGAGCCACCACACACAGATATATGCAACATAGATTTCAGCTGTTGCTTCCTTGTGTCGAACTGATGCTGATGCTGATCTTGAAGAAGAACCTAAACGTCCTAAATACGAACCTAAATAGAAAATCTGTCTTATTGTGAAGAGGAAGACGCGACAGTCAAGACCCAACAAGAGCTGCAGATGTTGGTCAGAGCATGTGGGTTCTCATATCACCTGAGCAACACACAGAGTGATCGACTTAATGCCACGGTGCATTAATGCAGTGATCTGGACAGTAATGTGTGTGCAAAAATCTCAGTAAAAATCCAACTTTAATAGTTTTCATGTCTGTGCAGGTCTTGATAACATCCATGAGTTGACATGGCATAAAGACTGTGAGCTGATGGTCGATATGGAGGACTTGATGGAAAAAAAGCCTTTATCCGTTACGCTTCATTTTTAATCTCTGATGAGTTTGATGGTTACCTTCTCATTTGAAGAATTTCAACAACAAAGGGGCGCTGGTGAGTCATGAGAAAAAACACATTCTAACTTTACTAGTCAGGATGAATTTATGGATGGATGGAATGATGCCCATCACTAATTATGTCTTTTTAAAATAAATAATTTAACTTGTGCTGGGTCTGAAAGTCGTGCAGTGAGTCTGGAAATGTAGAGCAAGGCACTGAGCATGGATCCTGGTGTGTAATATACACAGGAGTGTATTATTACACACTCCTCGTGTATAATAATACACCATGGGTGTATTATTATACACTCCTGGTATTATAAGATATTATTATACACTCCTTGTGTATAATAATAATAACAATAATAATAATAATAATAATAATAATAATAATAATAATAATAATAATAATTAATAAAGCTAATTTACTGTAGTTAGACAAATCAGGATTAAGAGAAATAGACCTTGACTGGATTAAATGTGTTGTGTCAAGCTTTCAACTGAATGTCTGTTTTATTCATATAGTTTTTGTATCCTATTATTATTTCTGCAGGAGACAGCCTTTCCTATCACAACCAACAGAAATTTACCACTTTTGACAAAGACCAGGATAAGTTGAGCGGCAACTGTGCCAAAAAATATCTCGGTGCTTTCTGGTACAATAAGTGTCACTATACAAACCCTAATGGGGTTTATCGCTGGGGGGCTGACAACACACTCTATGCTATTGGAGTGGAATGGGGTACATGGAAGGGAGTTAATTACTCCCTGAAGAGCATCAGCATGAAGATCCGTCCTGCCAAGTAAATCTGCAGGTCAAACATCCAGCAAAAAATAATGAGTTGCTTTTTCTTATAATCAACCATCAACTTTTAGCTTCAAACATGAGTCAAAAGTTCACTTGATTTCTAATAAATATAATCCAGTTGATTAAATCATTGGTGAGAGTTTGCTACCTGTAACCAATTTATCTCTGATAATAAATAAGATGCCAGCAGCAATATTTGTGTGTCTGTATTTTTTTATATGTAAAAATTAAAATAAGCCAGTTTTAAAACACAAATTGGGCCAAATGGAAACATTTTTAGAATCAAACCTCTTGGTTAAATGCAATTAATTGAAAAACAACCAGGTCTTCCGTAATTCTAAATTTTATGCTCAACTGTGTCAACGTCAACATCTATGTCTATTTAATGATCTGTTTATGTCACTCCCAGAGAAAATAAAGTATATCTGGTGTTAGCTAAGACAAAGAAATGGAGTGTAATTTGATTTTTATCAGAAAACAATCAGGAAGCGAAACAAGAACAGCAGAAAGTCATCAATTTGTTTTTTTCTTGCAATAAAATGTAAAAAAATAGCACAAGAACTTGATCTAATAATATCAGGAGAACAATAAAATATTTATAGTTTGACCATTTATAATGACCATATGATGTGCGTCAATGTGTTGAAAAAACAAATTACATGATTTTTAGACTCTGGAGATGTGTTGATTGATTTGATCAGGTTGAAGAAAGTTTTGTTATTATATGAAGTGAAAGACTCACTGAATGCTCAGGCGTAGTGGATATTATACAATTCACTGATTGTTCCTTTTCTGATACATAGTGCAGATGTTTGGGGAAATGCCTGTAATAATATTCAAATTCTATTTTTACTTTTGCAAATTATAGAAATTAAAAGCAGAAAATGCTGCAGAGCTCCAACAAATGCATTGTGCTTCAACTTAAAATTGATATTTATTGGTGGACTACTATATCCAAAGTAATGAAATGAGTAGTTTGAATGTTAATGGAAACTCCAGGTGTTAATCTGAAAAGAAAAAAGTAATTTTGTTAAATGACTTTTAAGTTCTGATTATCAAGAAACTGGTGTTGGGTCTATTTTGGTTCCCAACCTGCAAAGAATCAACCAAAGACACAAATTACTTTTCTACCACCTGTCAAACACCGTGTTGTGTCTCCTCCACCAGCTCTCAACTGCCTTTTATTATGTTTACAAGAAAAAAGGTTGGGCTTTTTCACACAGTCACACAAACAATTGATCAATAACCTTAACCACAAGGTGTTTTGGGACCTTCTGTGAACATGCCCTTACCTGGACACAAGGCTGACCATTATACCTGTGTTAACAGGTAGCTGTTAACACAGGTACCTGTGTTATTACCTGTGTATTATTATAATAATAATAACAACAACAACAACAACAGCAACAACAACAACAACAACAATAATAATAATAATAATAATAATAATAACAGGTAGCTGTTAACACAGACAGCTAATGATCAAAGCAGCTGGTATCACAAGCATGTATAAACATTTCCAACCCCCAAGCAAACTTCTGAAAAAACAGTTAATATTGTACCACAAAAGAAAGGAGTCAAGTAAACAACACACAGAATAATAATATAAAAACATAACCTTTCAAATAAACTCATAAGTAAATGAACTTAGACAATTTTTCTAAAAACTGGGCATGGGTCATTCTTTCAGAAGCTATTCATGCATTTTAATAACTTGGAAAGTTGCATATGGATCCATATGAATGAACCAGCTGGGCCTCAAACCCGAATTTGTATTTTTTCCAAGCTTATATGTGCCAATACAATTTATTTTATGGTTTGATTTGCAAACGCAACATGTAGTGCATTAATGTAGTGCATTAATACTAATTGAAAACCCTGCATTTTTTCAACAGTCTTATAAACAATTAAAAAGTATGGGATATATTGGTATAATTAGCCTTTTAAACATATAATTGAACGAAATCTCCAGTTTATGTTCATTTTTTGTGTAATATTTCACAATGAAGCTGCAAAGGTCTGGAAGAATTTTTTTACCTTTCAGTGCAAATATAAACTTTAAATGTTCTTAACTTTCATTGCAACTGGAAAGTTTTTGCAGCATAAATGTTGTATATCTGAATATTTAAGATAAAACAATAGGAACAGTTTTAAAGCCTGCAACCATATATATTGAATATATATGACTGATATATATTACAACCATTATCTAGGAAACTTGACACCTCGTAACTGACATTGGAAAAAAGAATTGAATGAACAGATTCACCAAGCGGTGACTTGCTTAGTGAAAGTCGCAAATCTTCCAAGTCATGCTGTTTCAATTTGACCTCTTACTCAGCATCAGTTCCCAATTTATGGACTCGAAATTTGAAATCAACTCTGCTTTATGTACTGGCTTCCTCTCCTGTGCTTCCATCTGAAGGCGAGGTAAAGGCCAAGGAGGCAACTGAGGTTCTGCAACCATTTGGGCAAAGCAAGACAACTTTATTTATTCATCTCCTTTCAGCCAAAGACTATTCAAAGTGCTTGTACAAGAAAGTAAAAAACAACATTCAGCAAGAAGATAGTCACAAAATAATAATAATAAATAATAATAATAATAATAATAATAATAATAATAATAATAATAATAATAATAATAATAATAAT